CATCGGCCGTCCAGCATACGGTACCTTCGCATATCCTTAGTTGGAAGGATACCAGATCTACGAAGGAATTATAAGTATTATATTACATTTGATAAGAATACGATGAGATTGTAAATTAATCCTTTGTGAGAATTGATATATGAATATGATTAACAGCAATTTGAATAGGATATAAAGATTGTCAATTCATTAATTACTATTTCCTCTTGAAACTATTATGTAATTTCGCAGAAATTTATTGAATTTTAATGAATTTAATTTATATATGTTTTTAATACATTTTATAAATTTTTATTATATAACTTTAAATAACTTTAAATAATAAAATGATACCATGATAAATAATAATAAGATTAGGTTTATAATAAATTTTTTCTTATGGATACAAGAATACAAGAAAAATATGACTATTCAATTTCATAATATTTTTTATATCCCCCCTTTATTTTTCTTCGTAACTATTCTTTTCGAAGTAATTTAATTGGTTTAGTTGTGTAAGTGATAGATTTAAAGGATTAAGACAATGAAAGACGCCATATTGAAAATTCCAATAGTGAGTTAGTGGATGCTAGTAGAATATTTCAAAATAATAATAATAATAATATTAATTCAAAATATTAATTCTTCGTTTAATAATCTTCAAAAAAAAATGGAAATATCTTCCGTCATTTTACGAATCAAAGCTTTCTTCTTGAATTAGCTACATTTATGAAGAAATTCCTAAATTCCTATTTCCAATTTAACTTTTCCTAATCCAGTACTTAAATACTTATTGGAATAAAATTTTAAAGATTTCATATCCTCCATCTAAGACTTTTTAATATTTTTGTCAATTTATTTTTTCAGATATTCTAATTTCATTATATTTTAAATGGCTTAAGTTTAAAACATCTTCGTATCTTTCTTTTAATTATGATTTATGTTACTGGAAAAATCTAATCAAATATTCCAACTTTCCCTTGCTATTTTCAATTTGGATTCAAGGAATCTCGTATATCTTGTATTTAAGCAATTTCCTTGAACAAGATTGACTCAGACTTAGTTCCTCCCCTCCACTTTTCCTCATTTTTGATCGTGACCCTGCGGAAGTTGAGGAATTTCCTTGAGCACGGTCGTTGGACCACGATACGAGTCTTCTACGTGCTTCACGGTCTTGTTTTCCGTGAAAGTGACGCGAATGGCCGTTGTTCGTATTATTAATCTTCGCAATGACGTGACATCTTTCAATCCTCGAGGCGAATACGACTTGTGGAAAGCTGATAGAATTTTTGATATCGTGAAACAATCAACAAAATTTGTAAATCGTATGTACTTTAAAGAATTTTTCTTTTCTCTTGTTTCTCTTATTGATTTTGACTAATTATTGAGAAATGGAAGACGAAATTTATTTCTTAATTAATAGTTTGCGTCGTAAACTTAAATGATGAAAAATAAAGATAATAGAAGATAATAAATTATAATTTTATAACTTTAGGTAGATTTAAATTTCAGTAAAAGTAGATTCTATTGATTAGCAATAGAAAAGAATTAAGTTAATTTATGAATGGCTATTGTAATTATATGAGCATAGAATGTAGAAAAATTTTAATTTTAGAACAAAGAATTGGAAAAATGTATGACAAATAATATAATAAATGAATTTTCCTATTATATGGAATGAAATACATGTAATAGAATTACTTTTAAAATTTAATTGAAAAGTAGACAATTAAAAGAATGATTAACAAAATGAAAGAAAATGTTAAAGCAATGAATGAAAAGATTAAAATAATAAAAATTAATATTACAATAATATAAGTTTGATTCAGTAGATTTTCAAAACATTTTTGAAATATTCTTTAATAAAATCTTCGCTTGTATTTTCTTAACTACCAATATATTGAAAGGAACAAAAATCTATTTTACAAGATAGTATTTTGCAAAAGAGACTTCTGATCGATGACTAAACTCTGCTTTGCATCGTACACAATTGCGTAAAATTTCGCATAAAAAGTGTTTAATTTTAACATATTTCTGTATTTCACCAAATTCTTTAATATATGCTTATATCAAAAATTATAACAACACAGATTATAAATTCGTAATTAAATAAATTATATACTAATAAAATTTCTAAGCTCGTTATAATATAATAATCAATATTGTTAGTTTACTACTTATTATGGTTATAATTAATATCATTATACACTTTAATAGTCAAAATCCACGTTATATAACTTAATAATAATAAATTATAATCGTACGATATAATTAACAAGAATAAAATTTAATTAATAGTATGATCGAATTTTTAACATGGCAGAATGTTGAAATTATCGTGTAGTTAGGACATGATAATAAATTTTAATGACGAAAAATATTTCAGATATTTTCATCGTGTCAAATACGCCAAATCTGTGTTATTACATCAATCTTTTGTATTCGTATCGATATGAAAACGAACTATTTTATAAAAACATTTTCATACGTGTCATGGCACATTCTCATTAGAAATCTTGCATGATTGTCTTTTGTTAATGCGTCAAAAATAAATAGATGTATTTCTATTGCAAATATATGCAACTTGTCTTGAAATTCGTTCGAGATCTACTATTATATACATATGTAAATCTTTTTTTCAAAATCACGATAATATTATTTCCTTCGAATATTAATATATTAATTTTTATTACGCTATATGTATATACATATCATCCTAATATATATAAAAATTCATCGAAATTTATCATATTCATTTTTGTTATTCATTAATTCTTACCACGTTTATAATGATTCTTATTTATCAGTTACATTATTGATGTAAAAATTTAATAGAGATTTTTTTATATTTATTTATATAACTTTTAATTTATTAATTTTTGTCATACAATATTGACAATGAATTAAATATTTAATAGAATTTATTATATTTATTTTTATATATATTTTATATTTATTCATTTTTCATTACGCTATAATACCTATTCAATATAATTTGTAGGAGAATTTTCAATATTTACTTATAGATTTATATTTATTAATTATTATCGCACTATAGATATGAAATTTACATAAAAATTTATTATATTTATTTTAACATTTATATCTATTAATTTTTTATTACTTTAAATCGAATGTCATGTTTATATTATCGATATATGTATAAACATTCTCAAGAAATTATTTTAATTTATAATTTTCCATTTGGCATTTGCGGCTATTACCATTCTCGATGTTTTTCTTTTGTGCATTAAAACATGTTATTCATACGCGTTTGACGTATCATGCAATTTGTCCTTATACAATGTATGCGAATACGTGTACAAGAAATTCGTTTGCATCATCGTTCTTTCGTCAAGAGATAGAGATACAGTGGTATTTATCAATAGCATGATTAAAAAAATCGCGATGAAATCAGCCATTAGTGTTTCATGTTTTAGTCAAATGCCACGATCTCGAATTATTTTATATAAAATCGTGAACTTTGGAAATTCTAACTATTCTATCAACCACTTCGTATCGATCGTTTTTATTTCTGTTTTATTTTTAATCCGAAGTTGAAAACATCAAGTTGTCGGGACTAAGATATGGGAAACCTCGTGGGACTTAATCTTGACTTTTTTATCACGTGAAGTATAGCCTGTAGTTAGAAAATTGTCTATTCAGAAACTTCAATAGGACACATGTATCGACTGTTCAATAGAATTCTTTATTTTAAATTCGTGGTTTTTTTCTCTATGATATTTTTTTGTATTATTTTAAATATGAAAATTGTCATAAAGTTTATGATGTTTTCTAATGTTTACTTTTCATTTTGGGAAATAGAGAAAAAAATCTTCTAATTTTAACATATTAAAAATTTTTCAAAAAATAAAGTAAATATAAAATTGAAACTTTTATATTTTATCATTAATTTCGCAAAATAATATTGAAAAATTCTATATATTGTACAAATATTTTAAATCTGTAGAAATTTTATTTTTCAATACAGTTAAATATAACATACAGAATGAACTTTATTCTTATTTTAATTTTAACCTAACAAAAAAGAATTTAAGCTAATAGTCTATAAATATATAGCTTATTTAATAAATATTTTTAACTCATAAACTCATAAATTTCCTAAATTAAGGAAAATTTTTATATTGGATTTAGACATAAAATATTTAAGTAAAACCATAAATTTTAAATTCTAAAGATTTACCAATTTCTAAGTTATTTCTAAACACTAATTCGGTGATTTTTAATCGTATACTTACAAATTCTTCACAATTCAATGATAAAATTTCTCGCATTAAAGCAATAACAATATCCTAAATTTGAATCCTGCCTGATAATTCATAAATATTCGAAATAGTCTAAAATATAATTAATTTTACAATTATTTTCAAATGAAAATCCATTTTCATATCAATCCATTTTTGAATATCAATATTGAAGAGTTAATAATTAATGTTAAGAAAAAAAATATAAAAGAAATAAAATTAAATCATATGTAATCTTACATTGTATTAACATACCTGCATTTCATAAATATCCTAATATAAATAAAGATTTATTTCTATGACTATTTTTAATTATACACTAATTTTTAATTACTCACTAATTTTTCAAAATTCTTCAGAAATTCCTTGCATTAGACCCTCAATAAACAATAAACTCCACTTTCGTAAATATCTCAATAATCCGTAATATATGAGATCCCACGATTATTGCCGAAGATTCCCGAACATTTCCGAACATTTTAAATATTCTCATGACAAAGACTTTTCGTTAGATTTAGAAATATCGAATAGGATTATACTAGGTAAAAAGACTTTTCCCCGAGAATTTTCCTTTCCTACCTGTTTATAGTTGTGAATCGTTTAGAGAACGAGATCCCTCGGGGGCTGGCCACAATATCCATCATTAGGGGGGCAAGAAAAGGGTAGTGGTGAGAAGGGATGGGTATAATTCGCCGCTGCGGTATGCGGGCACGATGACGCATACGGGTACTTCGGTTCCGACTGAAACTCTTCGCGAAGCGAAGAAAAATCCGGTAGGGGCGAAAAACGACGGTTAACACGCACTCTTAATACTCGCGATGCCCTCTTCGCGGCCATATGCGGGCGCGTATACGCGTTTAAAAGTTTAGTAGCTAAATTGGCTTGGACAAGGGCTACCATTTGAGACTAACCCTCGGATGACTACATATGATTGAGTCATCGTGGGTATAAATTAGAATTGGACGTTATTGAAGTAAATTTTTATTAATGTAATAATAATTCAAACAAAATTTTTATTCTATTTTTTATTCTATTATTTTTTGTTTATTAATTTCGTACTTTGTACGAAAGTAATATTGACTTTTTTAAATTATGGTGTTTATGGAATTATTCAGATAGAGATGAAGTATTTTTTTTTTTTTGACATTATACTTTTTCTATTGTAAAAAAAATTAAATCCTTTATATGCGTCATTTTTTCATAGAAACAAAGGCTGCAAAAGACGTCTCATCTTTTCAGGAATGAAAACGGAAAATCGGATAGAGATTCATGTTTCGCAGTTGTTCATTTGTAGAATTAGATATTTGTGGATGTTTCAGACTAGGTCTTGAGGGATTTCGAACTCCGGAATACTAGTTATCCTAACTATATATTTTTGCTCTGAAATAAAAAATTTTGTTTCGATAGAACTCTGAGCAAATCTATAAGTTCATAGTCGAATAAAAATATATTAAAATTAATACATATTCTCTATAAATCGATTAAATATTTCATTAAAAAAATTGAAAATCTTATTTAATGTAAAAAAAAAAAAA